TTATGACCTGTCTGATCTTGGACAACTCATTGAACCTTTCTGGGCCTCAGTTTCCTTCTTTGTAAAATTAAGAGCTTAATTAAGAATCAGTGACTTCTAAGGTCTCTTCTAGATGTACGATTGTGCTTTCATCTTTTTGCCCCTAGCAACTCTCACGATACTCTGCCTATTTCTGTTTTTCCCTAGACCTGGAATTTCATTGATGTAGGGAACTTCTGGAGAGCAAACTCCTTCTGCTAATGTCAACAAGCAACTGTTCTGTGACTTACAGATCTTGGAGAGGATCTTAGGGCACTGAGAGGCTTAAGTGACTTGCCCCAGGGTCACATAGGTTCTGTGTCAGAGATGAGAATCCAACCCATGTCTTCTTATCTTTGAGGCAACAAAGTGGTGCACTAAGTCACTTAACCTCTGTTTACCTCTGTTTTCTCATCTGTAAAATAATAGCACCTACCTTCAAGAGTTGTGATGAGTAAATGAGATAATATTTGTAAGGCACTTAGCACAGTGCCTGGCATATAGTACATGTGATGTGTGTGTGTGTGTGTGTGTGTGTGTGTGTGTGTGTGTGTGTGTTAGCTTTCTTCTTTAGCTATTTCTGTCCACTAGGCTATGCTGGCATTCACTCCGACTCGAACAAACACGCATCCTTTTATGGATCTATGATGAGTGCATACCCTCCCTGGGTCCTGAGTACAATCCAGACATGCTTTCTCATTTTATGTGATCAGTGTTGTGTCTTTGCATAAATCCTCCATCAAGGATTAACCCAACATACATTTCTCTTTTTCTTTGAAAATTTCATGGAGAGGAGGTGGAGCCAAGAGGGCAGAATAAAGGCAGGGACTTGCCTGAGCTGTCCCCCAAAGTCTTCCAAATACAATTAAATAACGACAAATTCTTGAGAAGCAGAACCAACGAAAAGAAGGAGTGAAACAATTCTCCGCTTCAAGTCGATGTAGAAGGTTGGCAGGAAAGTTCTGTTGCACCTGAGTGAGAGAGGAGCGCATTCCAGCACAGGACACACAAGCACAGTCCGGGCGCCAACAGACCAGGAGCAGGTCTCAGGGTGACTGTATCAGCAGAAGCTGTGACAATTCCTAGACTCCTCTGCCCACAGAAGGTAAGGGGATTGGACCAACGTCAGAAGGAGATTTGCTGGCACCAGAGGCAGGACTCTGTTGCATCGCCTCTACTTAGTTTAGGTTGCAGTCCTGGATCACAGTCCCAGGGTGAGGAGGAGCACTAGCACAGCAGAGCTTGTGGCCACAGGGGAGCACGGACCCTGGTAACAGTTCCAGTGGTTGTAGTCGCTCACAAGCCAGTGCACGTACAGGAAGAGCCAAAAACCTACAGGGCCTCAGAATAACCTCTGAAAACAGCGGCGCAAAGACCTGAAGCTTGGAACAGTGCCTCCTCCATTTGGGAAGCAGAGTCCCACTTTAGCATAGAGTTAAAAGTCAAGAAATAGGCTGGAAAATGAGTGAACAACAGAAAAAAATTCTGACCATAGAAAGTTACTATGGTGACAAGGAAGATCAAAGCACACACTCAGAAGAAGACCACAAAGCCAAAATTCCTGAATCCAAAGTCTCAAAGAAAAATGTGAATTGGTCTTGGGCCATGGAGGAGCTCCAAAAGGATTTTAAAAATCAAGTAAGAGAGGCAGAGGAAAACTTGAGAAGAGAAATGACAGTGATGCGAGAAAATAACGAAAAAGGAATCAACGGCTTGGTAAAGAAGGCACAAAAAATACTGAAGAAAATAACACCTTAAAAAACAGAATAGGCCAAATGGTAAAAGAAGCAATGAATGCCTTGAAAGAGGGAAGAATGCCTTGAAAACCAAAATTGGCCAAATGAAAAAAAAGATATACAAAAATTCACTGAAGAGAAGAACTCCTTAAAAAGTAGAATTGGCCAAATAGAAAAGGTGGTACAAAAGCTCACTGAAGAGAATAATTCCTTAAAAGTTAGAATTGGGCAAGTGGGAAGCTAACAACTTTTTGAGACATCAAGAAACAATAAAACAAAATCAAAAGAATTAAAAATTAGAAAAGAATGTCAAATATCTCATTGGAAAAACAACTAACCTGGAAAATAGATCTAGGAGAGATACTTTAAGAATTATTGGACTACCTGAAAGTCATGATCAAAAAAAGAGCCTAGACATCATCTTTCAAGAAATTATCAAGGAAAACTGTCCTGATATTCTAGAATCAGAGGGCAAAATAGAAATTGAAAGAATCCACCAATCACCTCCTGAAAGAGATCCCAGGAATATAATAGCCAAATTCCAGACCCCCCAGATTAAGGAGAAAATACTGCAAGCAGCCAAAAAGAAACAGTTCAAATACCGTGGAGTCAAAGTCAGGATAATACAAGATTTAGCAGTTTCTACATTAAAGGATCAGAGGATTTGGAATATGATATTCCTAAGGTCAAAAGAGCTAGGATTATAACCAAGAATCACCTACCCAGCAAAACTGAGCATAATCCTTCAGGGGTAAAAATGGATATTCAATGAAAACGGAGGCCTTTCAAGCATTCCTGATGAAAAAACCAGAGCTGAATAGAAAATTTGACTTTCAAATACAAGATGCAGAAGAAGCATAAAAAGGTAAATAGGAAGAGAAACCATAAGGGATTTGATAAGGTTAGCTGTTTATATTTCTACATGGAAAAATGATATTTATAACTCCTAAAAACTTTCTCATTATTAAAGCAGTTAGAAGGAGTATACATAGACAGAAAGCAGAGGTGTGAGTTGAATGTGATGGTATACTTATCTAAAAAATAAGATTAAGGGATGAGAAAGAAGAATGCACTGAGAGAAGGGGAAAGGGAGAAGTAGAATGGGATAAATTATCTAACATAAAAGAGACCTGAAAGAGACTTTACAGTGGAGGGGAAGATGGGGGTGGGGAGCAGGGAGGGGAGCACATGGACCTTACTCTCCTCAGAATTGGCTCAAAGAGGGAATAATACACAAACTCAGTTGGGTGTAGAAATCTATCTTATCATACAGGAAAGCAGGAATGGAAGGGGATAAGGGAAGGGAGAGAGAGAGGGGAGCTGATAAAAGGGAGGGCAGATTGGGAGAAGTAAAAGTCAGAAGCAAAACACTTTTGAGAATAGACAAGATAAAAGAAGAGAGTAGGATAAACAGGGGGGAAAATAGGATGGAGGGAAATACATAGTTGGCAATCATTACTGTGAAAAAAAATTTCCAGTTAGTTTCTCATTTCTCAGACATATAGAAAATGGAATCAAATTTATAGAAATAAGAACTGTTCCTCAATTGATAAACAGTCAAAGGATATGAACAGGCAGTTTTCAGACAAAGTAATCAAAGCTATCTATAGTCATATAAAAATGCTCTAAATCACTATTGATGAGAGAAATGCAAATTAAAACAACTCTGAGCTACTCCTCACACCTGTCAGATTGGCTAATGTGACAGAAAAGGAAAATGACAAATGTTGGAGGGGCTGTGGGAAAATTAAAATACTAATGTACTATTGGTGAAGTTGTACACTGATTCAACCATTCTGGAGAGCAATCTGGAACTATACCCAAAGGACTATAAAATCATGCATACCCTTTGACCACCACTACTAGGTGTGTATCCCAAACAGATAAAGAAAACAAAAAGGAAAAGGATCTATGTGTACAAAAATATTTATAGCAGCTCTTTTATTTTTTTATTTATTAATTTTTTTTAGCAGCTCTTTTAGTGGTGGTAAAGAATTGGAAATTGAGGGGGATGTCCATCAATTGGAGATTGGCCGAACAAATTGTTGTATAAGATTGTGATGGAATACTATTGTGTTTTAAGAAATGATGAGCAGGACGATCTCAGAAAAACATGGAAAGACTTCCATGAATTGAGGAAAAGTGAAATGAGCAGAACCAGGAGAACACTGTACGCAGTAACAGCAATATTGTATGATAATTTACTACAAATAACTACTCTCAGCAATACAATGATCCAAGACAATTCTGCAGGACTTATGATGAAGGGTGCTGTCCATCTTCCAGAGAAAGAACTGGTAGAGCCTACATGCAGATCAAAGATACTTTTTCTTTACTTTATTTTTCATGGGGGTTTTTGTCTGTGTTTTCTTTCACAAAATGACTTCATGGACTACATCACTTTTGCATGACTACACATGCATAATCTACATCAAACTGCTTGCCTTCTCAATGAGGATGGTAGGGAGGGAAGGAAAGAATTTGGAACTCAAAATTTGGGGAAAAAAGAATGTTAAAATTGTTTTTACATGTAATTGGGGAAAATATTAAATAAGATTAAAAAATAAAATGCTAGAAAAATATTTCGTGGATACCAATGCAGTGTACCTGCTATCTTTTCCTCTCACATTACCAGTTCACCTCCTTTTCCAAACATATACAGCCTCTATGACATCTTTTATACCACTTGCAGCATGAAAATCATTCAGGGTAAAACACTCATCATGCATTTTTCTATTACCCTTTGGCTCATCAACAATTTGTCTTCTTCTGAGGCCACAACATTCATGATTTTCAGCCTTATTATGTGTATGTTGTCTTTTTTTTTCTTTTAATGAGGTTTCTTGGCAGGCAGGGAACATCTTAAGATCACTGAGAGCCTTGTGCTTTCTTTGTGGAGGAATTATTTCATTCTTTGAGTTTGTATCCCCAGCACCTAGCACAGTGCTCAGTACCTAGTAGGAGTTTAATAAATATTTGTTTTGCCAAATGGAATCGGAGAAACATTTGGGAGGGGGAGAGTGATTTAAGATGGCCAGGACAGGGGGTACAGCTGAGAGTGGGAATGAATAAGATGAGAGGAGGGAGACAATGGCTCAAGCAGGTATCCAAAGTGCTTGATAGAGCAGAATCTGAAGGTGTAGAGGAAAGGAGGACAGCGAGCTGGAGTGGATAGGAAAGGAGCAGCTACTTGGGATAGAGGACAGTTAGCTCCTCTTTTCATGTTCTGATCTCTGTCTATTCTAGGTCAGTCAATAATTTCCTGATGACTGGTCCAAAGGTAAGAGAAACTTTTGATTTCCTCCTTTGGGGTCTTTGACCACTTCATGATACCACATTAATTTTCCATTATCTATGACATTTTCCCAAGGGAGTCAGGACAACCTCATGCATTTTCCCACCTCCCATGCCTTTGTTCATACCATTCCTCTGCCTACAGTGCCCTCCCCACCTCTTCTCCTTTTCCATATCCTGTCTTTCCTTTCAGGCTCATCTCAAACGCCACTTTCCACAGGAAGCCTTCTCTGACCACCAGCCAGTGAGAAGGAATCTTTCTCCCTGGTACCTCCTTTATGAACTTAGTTTGAACCTTTTTTGTGAACTTGTACTCTGTTTCTTATCCTAATAATCTGTATCCACATCAGCGTCCTTGCTCGTTCAGAAGATCCTTCCAGAGAGGACAAAAATCCAACAGTTTCTGGCCTTCAGCCACTTATATTCTACCATGTAACACATAATAAGAAGCCATCATATCTCCCTTAAGTCTTCTCTTCTCCTGGGTAAACATCTCTAATTCCTTCAACTAAATCAGTAGTCCAGATATGATCTGACCAAGGCAGAATGAGACAAAATTGTTCCCTCCTATGTTTGAGATGCTGATACCCTTTTTTTGGAGAAAGGGAATGGAAGAAGGTTGATCCTGGGGGAGGTACCCTGTTCTTCAGAATGGGGAGACAAACAAAATTAGAACAATATGATCTATGTTACTTATGTTATCACACATTGGAAGATTGGGAAGTGACCAGGATTGTCCATTGTACAGATGGAGAAACTAAAACATAGACAGGATGATTGGCCCAAGGCAGAATGGCAAGCTAGGAAGTCAATATGGAGTCCTGACTCCCAGGTTACTGCCTCAACTTCCAGGTCAAGATGCTTCTCCCTTTCTTCCTGGGCTCATGTAGATTTAGAGGAGCCCTTAGAGATCATCTCATTTTACAAATAAGGAAATCGAGGCCCAGAGAGGTTAAATGATTTGTCCAAAGTCATATCAGCAGAGGATAGCAAAACTGGGATTCATACTCAGACTCCAAATCAGTATTCTTCTCACTATGCCATAAAGGAGTAGGGTTTTGAGCCTATTAAAGTCTAGAAACTTCTAACCCTGACACTTTAAGAAAGAGGACAGAACCTTGGAGCATCCCACTGGCAAACTCTCTCGGATATCAAAAGGTATTGTCAAGGCTATTACTGAGTTCCTGACATAGATTCATCGTAACTAATTCCTTTGGTGTTCTCAAACAACTGAGTGGAATGACCCCTGTTCATGCCTCCTGTAAGGAAGATCTTCCTCCGTACAAAGAAAGACAATCAGGAATTAACCAATCAACAGGCATTTATTAAGTACCCCTCTGTGCCAGATCCTGTGCTAGGCACTAGGGATACACAGTCAGAAATTAAATACTCCCTGCCCTCAAAGAGCTTATAGTCTATCAGGGGAGACACACATATACGTGTACATGATAAGGAAGGTAATGGGAAGGTAAAGGAGAGGAGAAGGCATTAGATACTGGGGGTCAGGAAAGGCCTCCCCCCATGTGGGGCTGCTCTGTTGTGAGATCCTATCATTTTCTCTTTTCTTCCTTTAATATCATATGGCTTTTCAAAATAAATCTAATAATATTAGTTTTAAATGCAGCAGTGAGAGCCTTGTGTTGTCTTGGTTATATGTGTAGGCTGCAGGCTGCCCCAGGATTAGGGAGAGACCCAGGGCTATTAACCGCAGCTGCTGCCTTTCCATCCCCCTCCCCTTTGACCCCTGCCCTCCAGGGTCAACCTGACCTTGCTGTCCTGCTACTGCTCATGCTGAGCAGAGTTGTGCATCAATAATGATGAGGTCAGCAGCCTCATGTTCATATATTAGGTGATGCAGGTGGAGTGGGGAGAAGAGTTAGATTTGACAGGTATGGGAGTAATCTGAGTCCTCAGAGACCTATCGCCATCTTACCCTGGGTTTATACTGCTTGAATATAGCTGTTTGCATGTTGTTTTCCCCTCCAACTGTGAGCTCCTCGAGAGCAGGCGCTATCTTTTTTCTTTCTTTGTATCCCTAGTGCTTACAACAGTGCCTAGCACATAATAGGTACTTAATAAATGCTAGCTGACTGACTGATCTGGGTGATTGTGCTCGCTGACACGCTTGTCCCTGCAGGCCTATCTGATCTACTCCAGCAGTGTGGCTGCTGGCGCTCAGAGTGGCATTGAAGAATGTAAATACCAGTTTGCCTGGGACCGATGGAACTGCCCGGAGAGAGCGCTCCAGCTGTCCAGTCATGGCGGGCTACGCAGTGGTAAGGAAAGCCTCAGCCGCAGCTCCTGGGACCCCTTGGCCACAGGTTAGAGCCCCATATCCTGGCACAGCCCTAAACATATATACACACCCCTTCAGGGGTCTCTGGCCCTGGCCTCATTTCTCCATTCAGCTCCTTCTTTGAAATCTTGTCTACCCAGAAAAATTGCTTTTTCCTCTTCTTAGAGCCTTTGCTCTATGGGCTTTCATGTCAGTGCTGCTTCACACTTATTCTGTCCCATTCTCTGCCCCTACAAAATCCTATTATTATCAGGGGAAGAGAGGGCTGATGTATGTGGGGTTAATCTTTGTATTCCCGGTGTTTTGCTCAGGGGAGGCATTTAATAAATATTTCTTGGATTGAATCCAGTTTGCTTCATGATGGGCATAAAGCTTGAGTAGGCATCATACTTCCAAATAACATATGCATGCAAGCACACACGTACACACATATACATACATACCACTGGCCAGCGGACTCAGCCAACAACCCTGGGGCTCAGGTGAGGATTATCATTCCTGAAGGCCAGAGTTTTGGTTCCCTCTGGCTACAGCTGTTCTGGAGCAAAGTTGTCTCAGGGTCACTAGAGCAGGCTCCTCAGACTCATTCTCTTCTTCAATTTCCCTCAGGCTCGGTCTTGTCCCAGACCCATTCCCAGTCCCCAGTTCAGCTAGAGGTCTTTTCTTGGGTTCCCAGAAGGCAGAGTTGGCAGAGCACCAGAGGAAAGCAGGGAACAGACAAGCTGAGCAAGGGACAGAGGGGATGAAAGGAAAGCTTGGAAAATGGAGCATAGAGCAGATTGAGGCAGGGGAGTGGTATGATATACTATACTATTGTGCGTCATGTATGACGTACTAATTATTCTATAATATACATGTATGTGTGTATGTGTGAGTATGTATGTGTAGGTATGTAGATGCACACATAAATGATACACATGTGTGTATATATGTATGTGTATACATATATATGCACACACATATGTACATATATATATCTCAGAACTATACTAAGGAAGAGTCAGTTGATGAACCTGGAAATGTTTAACCTGGAGAAGCATCTACCTATGTACTCAGGCTTCTGACCAAGGCCAGAATATTTTTAGAAGGGACATGATAGCTGTCTTCAAGTATCTGAAGCACTTAGCACATATTAGGCACTTAATAAATGTTTACTGGTTGGTTGATTATCATGGGCAAGAGGGATCAGACATATTTTGCTTGACTCCAGAGTTGCAGGGATCCCACCTTTAGCTCAGCATGTTTGGAGTTATCAACAGTAGGATGGGCTGCTTCTCTGAGGTTGGAGACATCGAAACGTCACGTGGGTGATCACCTGTGTAGTGAGGATTCCTGCTTCCCTGTATGGGGTCAGTTAGATGGCCTCTGAGGTTGGCATGAGGGACATTGAAGGGGAGGCAGTCTACACCCCCCTCTAGATGTCCTCATTCTGATTCCTGACAGCCAATCGAGAGACAGCCTTTGTACATGCTATCAGCTCTGCTGGGGTCATGTACACGTTGACCCGAAACTGCAGCCTTGGGGATTTTGACAACTGTGGATGTGACGATTCCCGAAATGGGCAGCTGGGTAAGTACCCAGTGTAGAGGGTGGGTGGGGGTGGGAGTCAGTGACAGAAATAAAAATATGAAGGGGCAGGGAACTCAGTGGGCATCAGGGGGGAGGCTCTACACAGAACTGGACCCTTTCCACTAAGGGAAAAAAAGCTAAGCCAATGAAATCTGTTCCCAAGAGATGGATGAGGCTGAGCCCAGACCTTCTCATGGATCCAGACCTGGGAGAGCTCAGACCTCAGATGGGACCCAGAAAAGCCCAGAATGCACATTTCCCCACAAATTATTCTCATCAGGCAAAGACGATGGAAGCAGACCCTTGGAGAAAGCCCTCCCTTCTCTCTTGAACTTGAAGACTATTTTTTTCAATGTGTAGTCCGTCATTCCCCTTTAACGTTCCCTTTCCTGTTCTTTCCCCTGCCTTTCTCGTCCTGGGGCCCTTCTCCCTTTCTTTTCCCTGATTCCCCTCATTCTTTTTCTGTGACTCTCTCTCCTAGGAGCATGTCCTCTAGACTCCCTCTCCTCCCTCAGGTCACACACTCTTTCATCCCCCTGAAGCTTACCCCCACAACTCAAGTCCTTACCACCCTGTGCACTGTTCCCTATATCCTTAGGCTCTAATCCCTTTCTCTTCCTCAGGCTCCTACATCCCCTGCCCCTCAAAGTTCCCTTCCAGCCTCTTCCTTCTACCTTCCTTGCTCCTCCTCCTGGCCCTGCCCTGCATAGATCTGCCCTAACCAGGCTCCTCAGTGTCTCAAGGAATAAAATACTCTGAAGATATGATCTGTCCTTTCATAATCTAAATGTCATCGCTATCTAAACCCGAGCAAGTTTCTAACCAGCTGCTAGGATTCAGAGAACAGACATTCTTAGTCTCTGGTTGGCTGGCCTCCCTATTTCTCCACGGCTACCACCTCTGGGGGGCCCTGGTTTTATTCATCTTCACACACACACACACACACATACACACACACACACACTTTGGGTTTCTTGGCCACATGCTCTGGACAATGAGTGTGCTATTTCAGAATGTATTCATATCAGAAAGGAAAATTACATACATTCAGAAGTAATCCAGGGGGCTAAAGGGAATCAGAAGGGTCAAGAGAAGAAATGTCCTAATCTTGTCTCGGTGGCCCTGATCACTGATCTTATTTTCAATCTCCCCTCCCCTACTCCAAAGTCCAGATCTCATGACTCTCTGGGCCCTGAAGATTAGTGCAATGAAAATGGTGACTGGCCTGGTGACATGCCAATACATTTTAGATACTCAACAGACAGGATGGCCCCTCCTAGCTACATAAGTGAAATCCAGCCCCTTCTTTCAACCCACACCTCTCAGATTCAGAAACACAACAGGTCAATGGGTATAAGTAGTTCTTCACTTCAGTGAGAATACTTGGATTTAAAGGATGTAACATTAATAACTAACTTTAAAGTTTGCAAAGTACTTTACAAATATTATCTCATTTGATCCTCACAGCAATCTGGGGAGGTAGGTGCTATTATTATCCCCATTTTATAGACAAGGAAACTGGTCCAGTGACTTGTGCAGCTAGTAAGTGTCCAAAGCTGGATTTGAACCCGGGTCTTTCTGACTCCAGGTCCAGGACTCTACCCACTTTGATACCCAGGTGTCTCAGAAGCCCTAGGCACTCAAGGAATCTACCTGGATTTCTACAAGCTGGAATCAGCTAATCAATCAGACCAAACACATTTATTAAGTACTCTCTACATGCCAGTCTCTGGGACTACAAAGATTAGTATATAAAAAATAAGGCTAGGGACTGGAATTGTGATATCGTTGGTATAGGGACCTCCCATGTGAGGAAATTCCTTCTACCAATGCAGGTTGGCATCTTATCTGCCCCTTATGCTTAAAGTGCTATGAGATTAAGTGATTTGTCCAAGTTCACACAGCCAGCATATGTCAGAGTCAAGTCTCGAATGATGTCTTCTTGGCTTTAAGGTCTAACTCCTGAGCCATTACCTACACTGCCTCTCTGTATATATGCCAGATATATAAAGTAAATACAAAAATAAAAGAGAATTTGGGAAGAAAGCAGTGGCAGCAAGGGGAATCAGTTCATTCATTTAGATGATACTTGAACTGAGCTCGGTTGGAAACTACAGATTCTAGGAAAAGAAGTGGGGAGGGAAGGCATTACAGGTCCGGAAAATAGCTTTTGCAAAGTCATGGAGATGAGAAAATGACATGTCAGCAGTGAGGAATGGCAAGAAGGCTCATTTGGCTATACCATAAAGATTTTTTCCAATAACACGTGAAGACAATTTTTAACATTCGTTTTTTATTTATTTTTAAATTTAATTTAATTTCATCATCATCATCATCATCATCATCATCATCATCATCATCATCATCATTATTATTATTATTATTATTATTTTGGCTAGGCAATGGGGTTAAGTGACTTGCCCAGAGTCACACAGCTAGTAAGTGTTATGTGCCCGTGCCTGAGGTCAAATTTGAACTCAGGTCCTCCTGCATCCAGGGCAAGGCTCTATCCACTGTGCCATCTAGCTGCCCCAACATTCACTTTTTTAAAAAAAATTTGAGTTACAAATTTTCTCCCTCCCTTCCCTCCCCTCCTCTTTCCTCTTTTCTCCTTAAAAATATAAGAATTTTAAATAGGTTATATAGACCATAGAGATTGTGAAGGGACAGGAGGTATATAACATATTATCCAAGGACCTACTAAGCCATCTCCCAACATTCCTAAGGAGAAGCGAGTTCTCTATACCTCCTGCACTCCCTCAAACATCAGCTGAATGGGTGGCAGCTGTTTCTTGCTAAAGATCATACACTGTTACTATGTAAATCTATGAAGTGGGTTGATGGAGGATGGCCACTGGAGGAGATTGGGGATGAGTTAATTAATGCTCAGGGTTGCAAGTGACCCTACTCGACTTTCTCTGGCATCCTCAAGGCGGGGCTCATGGGCTGCCTCCTACACAAGGCCTATCTGTTCCCCTTGCTACTAGTCATCTCCCCATGAATTATTTTGTATTTATTTCTCTATGCACATGTTGTATTCTCCTCGGTAGAATATAACATCCTTGAGGGCAGGGATTCTTTCTTTCTTTCTTTGTATCTCCAGGGCCTAGCACAGTCCTTGACCTGTGGTAGTCACTCAATAAATGCTGGTTGAATGAGAAAGGATTAATCCTCCCAGATTTGAGGGACTCCAAATACTCAGAATCCTGGCTGGCCTTGCCCCCTTTTTCTCCCTGGTTCAGGGACAGTTAAAGGTTGTCCCAGGTCCCTGGGCACAAAGTCTCAGCTTCAGATCACATCATGCCTCTTCTAAAGGTCCAGAGCTGGCTGGGTCACCTCCCTCAGCACTAAGGCAGGACTTCAGAGCCCTTTCCTCCCTCTCTGTTCCTTCCCAGGGGGCCAGGGCTGGCTATGGGGTGGCTGCAGTGACAACGTGGGCTTTGGAGAGGCCATCTCCAAACAATTTGTGGATGCACTGGAGACTGGGCAGGATGCCCGGGCTGCCATGAACTTACACAACAATGAAGCTGGCCGCAAGGTGAGCCCTGGCAAGACCTAGGTGGGGGCAGGAGCTGGCTCCAGCTCCTCTCCAACTGCCCAAGCCCAAGGCCGGCTTTCCTTTCTTTACTTAGTCTACCTTCATCCTCTGGCTGCTCTTCTGCCCATCTAATAGATGAGGAGACCAAGGCACTAAGCCTGCTGAGTTGGCTTGAGGTCCCAAAAGTAAATTCAGGAACCTTGTCTCCCAGGCCTATTTGGAGTTTCCCTCTTTGGGTCAGGACAAGAGGGCCCTTGGAGGGAGGGTTGTCCCCAGTTGCGGGTGAGGCGGTGTGCAGGTTGGGGAGAGACCTGGAAGAGGTTTCAGAGATGTACTTCAGGTTGGTGGGGTTAGGGAAAAGGAAAAAGGATGAGGCCCAACAGTAGCTCAGCCTGGGGCCCCACGGTTCGGACTGGGGCTGAGGGTGGGTGAAGGAAGCCAGCTCCCAGGAGGTGTCCAGTATCCTGAGGGGTGGCCCCGGGAGGAAAGGTTCTCTAGCACCACTGAGGCTGGGGTGGGACTGGCCTCGTCCAGGCCCCCCGCGCTCACCCCTCTTTCCCCGGCCAGGCGGTGAAGGCCACCATGAAGCGCACGTGCAAATGTCACGGCGTGTCAGGCAGCTGCACCACTCAGACGTGCTGGCTGCAGCTGCCCGAGTTTCGCGAGGTGGGCGCGCACCTCAAGGAGAAGTATCACGCGGCGCTCAAGGTGGAGCTGCTGCAGGGCGCAGGCAACAGCGCGGCGGGACGCGGAGCCATCGCCGACACCTTCCGCGCTATCTCCACGCGCGAGCTCGTGCACCTGGAAGACTCGCCCGACTACTGCCTGGAGAACAAGACGCTCGGCCTGCCAGGCACTGAAGGCCGCGAGTGCCTGCGGCGCGGTCGCGCCCTGGGCCGCTGGGAGCGCCGCAGCTGCCGCCGCCTGTGCGGAGACTGCGGGCTGGCGGTGGAGCAGCGGCGCGCCGAGACCGTGACCAGCTGCAACTGCAAGTTTCACTGGTGCTGCGCCGTGCGCTGCGAGCAGTGTCGCCGCCGCGTCACCAAGTACTTCTGCAGCCGCTCGGCTGGAGAGCGGCTGCGTCCCAGGAGGCGGCCCTAGGGCAGCCCGCCCCGACCCCATCTACCCTTCCCCCGAGGACTGCAGGGGCCCTCGGACCCGGCGGGGCGCTGCCCTCCTCACTCCAGAGCTCCGGAAGTGCCCCCAGACGCGTCCTCCGACCCCCAGCTCCCCACCCGGCCTCCTCCCGGCTGCCAGCCCGCGGAGAGGCCGGCGCAAGGCAATCGCGTCCCTCCCCATCTCATCCCGTGCCCTCCGACCACCTCTGGCCCCCTGGGAATGAGTTAAGGGTCCCAAACCTAACCCCTCACGGGGCCCCTTAGTCTGTCTCCTCCCCCAACTACATAGAGATCGGGAGGCCTAGCACCCGAATGTGAGAGCACCTTCTCTTGTCCTATAACTGCTGTGTCATTGACCCTCCTTAAGCTAAGTGGGCTCTGGTCAGGGGCGACCGTCTTATACACAGCCGTCCTGTCCAACTGCTGTGTGGCTACTTTGAGATTCATGGGACCCAGTTAAGGTCTTTCTTTGCCCTCCAGTCTCTCTACTTGCCACTCTTCTCTACTAGCTGCTGCTCACCGGCAGCAGTCCCTTTCCCTAGTAACTCCTTTTTTCCTCCAATAAAGGTTGGAGGTGGAAGGAATCTTCCATGTAGTCCCTGCTCTTCCATTCCTGAAGAGAGGCAGCCTTGGGAGGTTAGTTGGGGAGTTCGGTTTGGATGATTGCAACAGTTAGGTCAGAAGGGAAGCCCTGTTTGTACTCCACAGGAAAGGAAGAACAGGAGGCCCAAGGTGCCAACCCCATGGGACAGTTGTATCCCCCATTAGCACCCAGAAGTGGCACCCTTCAGAGAACCAGAGAAGCCACAGAGCATGGTTCTGACTCCATTGGCCATGGAGAGATGCTAGAAGTGGATCAGAGCCCTCCCTCATTCCCCTGATCCCATCTCCCTGCCTGGAAGAGTTCATATAAGGTGGGTCTTCAGGTGGGACTGTTTGTTCTTTAAACTCACACCGATGAACTCTGACCTGGACCCAGGCAGGAAGGACCAAGAACTTCTTCCTTTGTGTGACTGAGCTATTTAATTACATTATATATAAGAATTGTTTTCTGGCACAAAACTCTGGCCAGTCCTACCAAGATGGACAGGCTTTGAATATAAAACCAAGGATGGACTGTGTGTCTTTTGTCCAAGAACCGACCCAACTAGGTTCAGAGAAGCTCTTCAGCAGAAGCATGGCTATCATCAGAGGGTGGATCTCAACCTTAGCAGCTGGTTAAACCAACCATCAACTTGGGTACAGAGGGATCATATGAACTACACTGATGGAAAATTGAGCACCCACAAGGATGGAAGGGGATAAAATTGTGGCTCTCTGAAGGACTGAGGTCAATAGAAGTTGAGCACTTTGAACTTAATTCACTGGAATCTGTGTCTAACAATCGTAACCATTTGCTGCCTTCTGTTGGAGAATGTACTTTTTTTTTTCTCCAGGGCTGGAGAGTGATGATTTCCAGGATTCCTGTTCAGGCCATACAGCGTGGATGCCAGCCATCCTTCCGAAACTTCAGCCCCCTTGCCTATGGCTGAAGCTGCCAGGTGCCTGTAACCCATTAGCTAATGCAATAAAACAGTAGCCAAGAGCTTTTCCAATGATGAAGTTGCTCTCTAATGTCAGTCCACATGGCAACAGTGGGAATTTGCTCAATGTAGGTCAAAGAGGGGCAAGGAGGTCTCCAGGACTGTCCTGACCAGAAGAGATGGGCCATCTTGCTATCCAAACTGAGGATTAGGGCTCTTGGAGGGGAAGAGATTCCAGGACCAACAGTCATCTCCAAACCCGTGCCAGATGTAGAAAAGCAATTACTTTAAAGTAGTAAGGAGAGGCAGGGTTCTGAACTCGTGATTTCAGAGACTTGAAGACAATAACAAGTGGGAACAGGTTCCCTCTGCCTTCACATTTGCCAAGACCAAGAGCATACAAATAGTCAAGAGTCACCCCAGGCAAGGGGGTCACAGCAGCTGCACTGATTTTCACATTCCTTTCCTCTTCCCATCTGCTCTCTGATGCTAATAATTCCTTTCTACTAAGGATAAGATCCTTTCTCTAACTCTCTGTTAGGAAGTAGTGCCTCTCCCTTTCCACCTTTGCCCAATCCCTACAACAGAACCTTCTAATTCTTGTGTTTTTGGCTAGGCAGTGGGGTTAAGTGATTTGCCCAGAGTCACACAGCTAGTGTTATGTGGCTGAGGCCAGATTTGAACTGAGGTCCTCCTGAATCCAGAGCCGGTGCTCTAGCCACTGCGCCACCTAGCTGCCCCAGAACCTTCTAATTCTTTACCAACCCTTTCAAGAGACTTTCCTTTGCTCCTTTGAGATTGGTAGCCATCTGTGATGATAGAACCTGTCTGGGCCCTTTCAGTCCTCACCATTATAGTTTTAAAATTTTTAATCTTATTTTTATTGATCCTTTTGTCTTCACGTCCCGTTCATTTCCAAAACTAGCTCTCCCCAACAAGGCATCTCTCATAACAAAGATCTTAGAAGATAGAAGGAAAAAAGCAACAATCCAGAAAAACGAAACATGTTGACTGTGTTTGAAAGAATATACATTTCACATCTATTGTACCCTATATCTAAACGAACTCCATGATTATTGTTGAATTACATGTTAAAGATGCAGAATGTGCTTTGGGGAAAGTATTGGCCCTGGAAGCAAGGGACCTGGATTCAAATCTCACCTCTGATATTTACTACCTATATGAACTTAGGCAAGCCATTGAACACCCTGGGCCTCAGTTTCGTCATATGTAAAATAAAGAGGTTGGACTAGCTAGTCTCCATGGTCCCTTACCAGATCTAGGTCTACAATAACAACAATAGTGTTTATATAGTACTTTAAGGTTTGTAAAGTGCTTTACATATTTTTTTCATGTTGTTGTTTCATTCATGTCTGACTCTTCATGACCCCACTTGGAATTTTCTTGGCCGACTCTTCATGACCCCACTTGGAATTTTCTTGGCAAAGATACTGCAGTGGTTTCCCATTTCCTTCTCCAGTTCATTGTACAGATGAGAAACTGAGGCAAACAGAACTGAATGATTTGCCCAGGGGCACATAGCTAGTAAGTGTCTGAGGCCAGATTTTAAGTCAGGTCTTCCTGACTCCAGGACCATTGCTCTATCCATTGCATCACCCAGCTACAACAGTGCCATGAGATAGCATCTCTTAGCCCTACATTATATCATAAAGCTGTGATTTATCCATGGAGAAGGCAGATGGAAACTGTTTGAAACTTACAGTCTTATAAAATTGCTAGAGGTGAAGAAAGATGGGGGGGGTGGAAACAAACCCTTGTAACAAATATGCATAGTCGAACAAAACAAATTCCTGCATTGCCATGTCCAACATATGTCTCAATCTGCACAGAATTATCACTTTTCTCTAAGGAGATCGGTAGAATTTTTCATCATAGGTCCTCTGGAATCATAGCTGGTCATTGACATGATCAGAGTTCTTGTCTTTTAAAGTTGTTTGTCATTACAATGTTATAGTTATTGTGTAAATTGGTCTGATTCTGTTCACCTCTCTGTCAGATCACACAAGTCCTCCCAGGTTTCCCTGAAACCATCCCTTTCATCATTACTTATCTAGTATTCCCTCCATCTAGTATTCCATCACAGCCATTGGGAGTTGGCTCCCAATATAACAGTTTATTCAGCTATCCCCCAATTCATACCAGCTTCCCTACTCTTACAGATGTCAGGCACTTGAAGCCAGGTCAGAGCATCATAGCTATAGAAGGCCAAGGGACCTTAGAGCTCATCTGGTACAACCTTGTCATTGTGTAGATGAGGAAACAGCCCCAGAGAGATTAAGCCAGTTGTCCGTAGTCACACGGGAAGTGAGTGATCCAGGCGGCTTTCAAACCTTTAGTCGTGGGACACCAAATCTCTTTTCTGACTGTCCCAGGTTTGTCCGTGTCCTCCTTTTCACATCCCTAGCCTGAGGTGGAGAGGGGAGCCCTGGGCCGCAGCAATGACCTGGTGGGGTGAAGTGAAACGGAATAAGGCCAGTTAGAGAAGGGGCTTTCTTCCATGTGACCCTTCGGGTCAGGCCTGGACAGAGCAGGGACAGACTGAGGAGCCTGCAGCTGGGCCGGGGAGGGAGCTGGGACAAGACCATTGTAGGCTCGGATTGGACGCTTCCCCTCCTCGGTTTCCTTTTAATTAACCTGCATTCCAGGAGGAGAAATATTTACGTTGGCTCTCAGAGGGGCGAGTCTCCTCTGGGGGAGAGGAGGCGGGGGGAAGAAAGGCCGCCCCGGCAAAACAATCTCCCCCGAGGAGCTCAGGAAGAGAAAAGAGGGGCCCAAGATGCTGTTAAATCCGCCTGCCCCCTCCCGACTCCTCCCTCTCCCCTCCTCGGCCCCCGACCCCCCCCATCCCTCCCCAACCTCCTCCCCTCTCCAACCCCCCCACCAGTCTTCCAGCCGCCAGGCCACTTCATTTCACATGCTAATCCGCGGCTGCCCCCTCCCTGGCTCCCGACACCTTTCCCCAGGGCGTTTGGGAACCCGCCTCTCAGGGCGGACCCAGCTCCCCGCGGCTCAGCTCGCACTCCTCCTTGTATCAGCGGCCGCCCGAGTGGGGCTCTCCCGCCAGCAGGGGTTTTTTCTCCCCCCCTTTAATTTAAACAAAGGCTCGGGAGTTCATCAACCTCCCACTGAAATTCACAGCTGCTGAACAAACTAATCCCCTCTCTGGGCCTTTCTTTCCTTCAATGGGCTCTTGGCTTCAAAGCCACTTTGGGAAAGCACTTTCTTTGGGGGGCTCACACTGCGCCTTCAAAAGAAGTGAGCCAGTATTATCCACCCCTGAGCCAATGGCTTTGCAAACCAATCCCGCCCAGCACAATGCCCCCAAACAGGCCCACATCTCGTCTGCAGACTGGGCCTGGCCCTGTCTGGATTAGGATTCTGCCTCTCCTTCCTTGCCTTGCCTTGTCCTGAGCCCTTCGTACCTCCAGCACTGGCCCTAATATGAGGGAGCCCCAAGGCCGAGTCCTTGTCCAGCCACCCTTCCCATCGCATCCAGGCCAGCCCCTCTCTGCTTTCGAGGCTCCCTGTCCTCCATCCCAGCTGCAGGGCAGCAAGGTCCAAACCCCACAGAAACACAGAGCAGAGTAGAAAACAGATGTCCTGTTCATTTGGGGAGAAGGCATGGCGTGGGTAGACAAGAGCATCGGATGAAAACAGACAACTGACCCTGGAGGAAACCACATCGCTGGAGCTTATTTCCCATATTAGAGTGCTTTTGTGGCTCAAATATCCAAAGTAGGGGCAAAGCACTGGAAGAACCCAGCTGGGAAGCAAATAGTGAGGAGCAAACAGAGAGAATAGACGCCCTAGGCCCACAGTGTCCTTGGAGGAGAGAGGAGAGGAGAGGGTAGGAGAAGAAGGGAAGGGAGGGGAGGGGAGGAGAGCAGAAAGAGGAAAGTAGGAGAGAGGAGAGAATAGGAGAGGAGAAGAGAGAGGAGAGAAGAGGACAGGAGAGGGGAGGGGAGGGAAGAGGAGAGGAAAGAGAGAGAGAGGGGGGGAGGGAGGGGAGAGGAGGAGAGGAGAAGGAAGAGAGGAGGAGAGAGGAGAAAGAGGAGAGGAGGAGAGAGGAGAAATAGGAGAGAAGGGAAGAGGAGAGGAGAGGGGGAGGGAGGAAGGAGAAGGGAAGGGAGGGGAAAGGAGGGGAGGGGAGAAGAGGAGAGGACTCTGACTGTTCCTTCTAACACAGAGCACCTATAACCACAGAATAGCCATCCTAGTGACCACCTTGGAATACAGGGTAGCATAGCCAACACCAGGATTTCTCATATCCATGCTCCAGTGGCTGAGCCTCAGTCTACCATTTCTGTTCTGTCTCAGGCAGGGAAGTCAATTAGGAGGGATGATTGAACATGGGCAAGCCCAAGGCTCTGGTGAGGTATCGCCACCATCACCACCACCACTACCACCACCAAAGATTCATTCAATTGCAGGTACTTCAGACTAGGGAGGAAATCATACATCAGGAAGGCTGATTCAAGGCTGAGGGGTGACAGCAGAACCTACACCATCGAGGGCAAAGGGGCCCTGAGACCAGACTTATGGGGTAATCCTCTATAAGGGTTCAGAGAGGGAAAGGAACAAGCGTTTAGAAAGCACCTGCTATGTGCCAGACTCATGCGAAGCACTTTGCAAATGTTATTTCATTCGATCCTCAACAACCCTGAGAGGTAGATACTATTATTATTCCCATTTTCCAGTTGATGAGGTGGAGGCAGACAGAAGTTAAGTGACTTGCACAGGGTCACACAGCTAGTAAGTGTCAAGTGTTTGGTCTGAGGCTGGATTTGAACTCAGGTCCTCCTGACTTCAGGACTGGTACTCTATCCATTGTGCCACCTAGCTGCTCCCATCACCTCACTTCTAAACTCTCATCTTCACCATGTTATCCCAGTCAATCACCCCTGCTCTGCCCTTATTTTCTAACCTCTCTTTGGTCTTAACACAGTACCTAGCACACAGAAGGTGCTTCATAAATGCTTATTCATAGGATTGTTGACTTGATCCATAGTAAAATTATTATTAATAGCTAGCAGTTATATGGTATTGTCATATGCTAGGCACTGTACTCAGAGCTTTATAAATATCT